GGATAGGTCCAGTGAATGAAGGGATAGGCTATGGGGAGACGAGATTGGAGGGTAGGAGGAAATAGAGGAAGGAAAATTTATTTCCTCTATTCCTCATTTATATTCAGTTCTGACTGTGGCTTGATGGCTCTGTTTTTTAATCAGGCAATCTGACTTACAAGCTGCATCTCTCCAAACAACCTTCCATAACACTACTTCCTTCCCTTGCTCCTTCAGGTGTAGGAGTGGCTACTAGCCCTTGGGTGCCTCAACATTCCTTGTTGGCTCTCTTAATGTTCTCCACACCTCTGAAATAATTCCTCATTACATTCTCTTCAAAGTTGCAGATGAGCATGCTGTTTCCTAAAGGGACCCCAAATGTAAGAATTTAATAAATATTAGTCATCTTAAATTTATGGTAAGAATGGATTCATTGTTGATTTTGCTTTTTCCATTAATATATATTAGTGTCCTAATATGACATAGTTTTAGTGGAATTTAACTTGAAGATCTTAATATTATACAAGCATATTACATTTCAGTGACAATTATCAGTTTGTTCATATCTGCCAGCATGTTCAGGTGCACAATGGTAGTTAAAAATAGGTGGTTAGGTCCTACTTTCTCCTAATCATATGTTCTAAGTAATATGGTAAAAATTGTTTTCTAAAAATTCCAAATAAATGCTGTGCAAGATGGTCCTCATTTTGCACAAGAGTTGCTTGCTGAATATCTAGGGTGCTGTATGGGAGACAAAGAAATAAAAATCTGACTCAATGTCTCCAAAAAGTTTGCAACCCAATTAGAGAAATAGGTAACGGAAAAGTTCCTTTTTGTAGTATCATAAATGGTAATAAATAAAACAGTTACAAGGCATTCATTCATTCATTCATACATTTATCCAACAAATATTTGTTTAATTCCTACTATATGCCAGGTCATAATTGATGCTAAGGATACAAGGACGAGCAAAACCAAAATAGTTCTTGATCTCATGGAGCTTACAGCCTAATGGGGGGACAGATCTTTATTACATGATCTCACTAACAAGTGTGTTATTAGTCACTGAGGTAAGTGCTCTCAAGGAAAAGAGACAGTTGCATGAGAGCATATCACAAAGAGATCTGACCTAAGCAGGAAGAACATGGAAGGCTTTCCTGAGGAAGTGATTCTTGAGCTTAGAAATGAAGCAGGAGTGATATCAACTGATGTGCATGTCGTAAAGATCACCTCAGTTGCATTATGGATGAACATCAGAGGGAGACACACAGCTTTAAGCTATTTAATTGGGCCAGATGAGAATTGATGGCATCTTGGCATAGGGAGGCAGTAAAGATGGAGAGTATGGACAGATAAGGAAGATATTCAGTGAAAGGTGATATTTTGAAGATATTCAAAAACTTTTGTTATGGAATGGGTATGGAGCTGGTAGTGAGAGAAAGGAATCTTGAAATAGGGCCTAATTTTCTAGGTTGCACAATTAGACAAGTTATAGAGCTTTCACTTGGTTAGGTACTGCTGGAATTGAACCAGATTGAAATTAGATCATTAATTTTTGTTCTTGATATTGAGTTTGAGGTACTTTGCAAAATCCAAAGTGGAGATACAGCAGAGTCATATGAGTGGAATGAAACAGAGTTCAGTGGAGAACTGGGTGGAAAAGTCAACAGTGTTTATGTGGTAATGAAACAGTGTTTATGTGGTCTTAAATGATATTTTCTGGGGAGAAACATAGTGAAAAAAGAGAAACCAAGTCACCTTAACTATTATTGGTGGCCAGAGAGAGAAGGGTGAGCCTGAAAGTAAGGCTAAGAAGGAGTGGGCAGAGAGAAGTGCCCCCTTCTGGGTGCCAAGGGGAGAGACTGTAGCTGTGCTGTAGTCCTCTTTTCCTGAAAAATACAATTGAGTTCCATCAGATGAGCATGAAAGGTGGATCATTGTGCTGGCAGCTTATCATGTTCCCAGTTTACCTGTCTCTGTACCCAGGCCCTTTGCCTTGTGGGTTTACAGTTCCACTAGAGATTAAATAAACTTCCTACTCCACTGACATTGGCATGGCCAAATGACTTGCTTTGGCCAATAAAATATAAGAGGAAGAAGGAGGTTGGTAATTCTGAACCATGACCGTAAGAGGCATAGCACATTTCTGCCCACCTCCTTTCTGCATCTTCCATCACCATGACAGGAATATACCCTTAACGCCATCTGGTCGCCCCAAAATGAGAGGTGCATGGACTAGACCTAAACCAAACAGATGGCCTGAATTAATCCCAAACTCACTCTTGTCAAACTCACCCTCCCTGAAGGTCCAGAGATGGGACTGAAAATTCCAACCCTCTAGTCTCTTGGTCGGTTCCTCTGGCAACCAGCCCCCTTCCTGAAACTCTTAGGAGTCCCCACACTAGCATAGACTCAGGTGTGGTTGAAAGGGCTCATTGTGAATAGCAAAAGGCATTCCTATCACACAGGAAATTGCAAGGGTTTTTGGACCTCTATGCCAGGAACGAGGGGCAAAGATCAGATATAATTTTTACTATACCAGTTTATTAAGCACAGATTGGTAGGCCCAACCCCTGAGTTTCTGATTCAGTCCATCTGTGGAGGGACTTGAAAATATGGATTTTAATAAGTGTCTTCAGGCTGCTGTTGGCTTTCTTCAGAGGGACTGAACATGGAGAAGCTCTGTCCTTGAGGGTCACAGCATGGTGCGATCTCTCTCTCACATACTATCCTTCTGACTCGTGGGCTTCCTCTCTTAGTTCCACCAAGTTTTCTGTAGGTCAGCATATTCATTCTGTTGAAAAGTACCACTAAACTCTAACTCAGAGCAAGGAAACCCTGGAGGTGCACCAAACCTTACAAAGAGCTGAGGACATAAGATGGCACATCTCAGTATGAGGGAAGAAGTGTGGGAAGGGAAGCCATGGAAAATGGAAACCACTATGACAGAACTTACACAGCTGGGCGAGCCAAGTCCAGGCGAGGCAGGGGAGCCCCTGCAGAGGGGAGAAGGGAGAATCCTGCTTCTCTTGGAAAAGCAGAATCTTTTCCTCCATGGGCCTTTAATGGTCAGATGGGTAAGAGAGGAGCAGTAGAGGCTCAACTCACTTTGTCGGAAGTTCCCTGCATTCTGCTGCTAAGAGATCCCTGTGGAGCTTGGCCTTCTAACACCTTCATTCTGTTCCCCAGAGTTGAACATCCTGTTTTGGTCACCATTACCTTGTATATTTTCTCTTTGTACTTTAATTAATGTGTATATGTATGCATATATTGCCTAATTACTGGTATATATACAGTGCTAATAATACTTAGTATGTACAATATTTTCTCTTTGTACTTTAATTAATGTGTATATGTATGCATATATTGCCTAATTACTGGTATATATACAGTGCTAATAATACTTAGTATGTACATATAAATTACCTAACTTCTGCCTTATTGTTCACCATTCTCCCTGCCTAGACCCAAATCCACTCAGATCAGATCAGATCACTTTTCCTCAGACACTCCACTAACTGGCTCAGCAAGTTACCCTGCATCTAACTATGAGCTAAGACCCCTGTTCCAAATCAGGCTAAATAACCCCACACCCACTATGACCTCAGAGCAGTGGGGGTGTGTGTGGTTAGGAACCCCCACTGGCCCTGTTCCTTGCTTCACATTCCACATTTGCCACCACCTCCATGCTGCCCTGGGACTGGATTACACAGTGCATGTCTCAGCGCAGGAGAAGGGCTGCAGGTAGGAGGTAGAGCTGAAAGTTCTGGGGTTCCCACCCACCCCCTGGCTTTTGTTGGCCCTGAAATACAGGGTGGTAAAAGGGATGAGGTAGGAAATACACTTAGGAATAAGAAGACTTTAGGCAGTATGGTGTCATGATTTAGACCAGCTGCTTAGAAACCAGGTGGCCCTGGGTTTGAATTCTGATTTTGTCTCTTGCTAGCTGTGTGATTTTCGGCGAATGAATGTCTATTTGCTTCAGCTTCTGCTTCTGTAAAATGGAGGTGATGACAGATATCACCACTCCGTGCAGTCAGCAGAGTGTGGTGGTTAGAAGCACGGTTCCAGTGCCAGATGCCTGGGTTTGTATGTGGGCATGCCATTGGTAGCTGTAAGGCTTTGAACGACTCACTTAACCACTCTGTGTCTCAGCTTCTACATCTGTAAAGCAGGGGTGATAATAGTATCTGCCTCATATGAAATGGTAGTATTTCTTATTTTCTCCTGAAAATTCATATAGCCACAGTCTCAAAAAAGACCAAAATCAAACTAAAAAAAAATGAAGTGATTCCTGATCTCTAACACTTGAAATCTAAAATATGCTAGAATGCAGGATTTTGATGGCATTTTATGATCCTTTTGTGTGTGTGTGTGTGTGTGTGTGTGTGTGTGTGTGTGTGTGTAGTAAAGAAATGAACATTGAGTTGTAGCCAACAGAAAATATAGTATTTATAAGTACTCTTTACTCCCACCCAAGAAATCTGTTTGGTAAAAATAAAAAGGGAAAAATTAAAGTGGGAGCCAGATGTAGCTTGGAACTAGGGCATGCTGGGAGCAGAGCCCCCAAAGCAGGGAGCATGACGGGACAAATGCAGTGGGGGTCAGCGCTGTGGCGGGAGAGCCAGGCCAGAATCAGGGAATGAAGGAGATGGGAGTTTAAGCAGCTGCTCCTTCCACTTGTCAAACCCAAGGCAAAACTTTGTCAAATGGAACATTGGCAGCTTCAGGAATCAATATGATGAGACAGTGAGAATGGGTTTTGGTAAGAGTTTGGCAATTTCTGGAGGATATCATGGTAAGGATATCAAGGAAAGGAGACTCTCAGGGTCAACCATTTTCCCACTGAGTTAATATCAGGAATAACTTCACTCATCCATTGCCTTATAATTTAGATCATCTGTAAAAGGCAAGGGGCATGCAAAGAAAAATTAACATGATGAAATCCTAGGTTTCATTATGATAAGTTATAGAATATCTCAGTTTGAGTAAATGCTCTATTAAGAATGATTTGCTTATAATTCAGTAAAATGTTTGCTCAAGTTTATTGAATAGCATTAGATTAATGGAAAGCATTAAAGAATTTGATAACAGAGACCAAATTAAAAAAAAGCCCATGTAAAAGATATGAGTAAAAAAAGTTTGTCTAAGCAAATGTCTAAAAGAATACATCTGAACATCACCCTTTAAATGCTTTTCCTGAAAATAGTATGAATTTAAGTCTGGGGATCTTTGAATGTTATTAGTTTTTATTTGTAACAACAAATCTCATAAAGGAACTATTTAAAAGTAGAAGGACCCCATTCCTCTGAATAGTGAGCCTTTAAATGGAAGGACATCTACTATGCAGAGCCCTCTAACCCTCTTGTCAGGCTGAGGTTCCATGGATTTCCCAGGCAGCTTTTCAAGTCTCTTATGGAAGCCTGCTTTTCCTAGGCAGCAAAATGACTGAAATGCATTCCATCATTTCCTTCTTAATTCAAACCACATGTTCAGGAGTGAGGTTTAAATTTTCATTCTCTTATTTTCTTGGAAAATTTAGCATTAATAATAGGTATATTATCAAAAGAAGCCTATATGATTTATAACTAAATAACTATCCTCAAAGAAACTTTCCTCCCTGATGAGTAAGAATGCAAAGTCCAAATATGTGGGTACTGTTTTAGAAAAAAGTTTAACTTTGCCCCATCAGCTTCTGCAGGGTTATTTTTAGTATGTTCTCCTGCTTGTATGAAGAAGTTCTTTTTCTTGGAAAAGATTCAACCAAGCACAAAATTATAACACGGAGCAGGAATGAGTGGGGAAGGCAGGTGCCCTTAGCAGGGATGTTGGCATCAGGCAATCTTTTCCTTAAACACCGTTGCTGGTGGAGTTGGTAGTTTTCTTCTGTGAAATAAAAACAAACACAATAGAGTCACATTTAGAGAAAGACTTACCAGACACTGTGGCTTTCCCCTGGAGATATCAAATAAGGAATATTGTGCATACTGGCTTCCAGTCTAGTGTATTGGGCTGCTGGAATGAGTCACCCCGGCTCTATCTGCTAAGTAATAATAGTGAAGAATAAGCATTTGTCTTAGGAACCTCTCATAAATTTTAAATAGCCCATTTTGACTGCCCAGGAAAGGGAAACCCTTTAGTGCAAATTGGAATCTGAAAATCTGTACTATGCTTGACTTACTTCTGTAATGCTTTCATGAATCTTTGTGTCCATGTACTTTGAGGATTCAAGCATATGATTGACTTATTCTTTGTCCAGATTCTGGGGGAAAAGAAAAAGGAAAAGAAAGCAGTTACATTTTAATCAATCCTTCACTTAAGAAAGAAATTAAGTATAAATATAATTATTCCCAGATGAAGTGAAAATTCATTAGATCTGCAGTAGGAGATTTGTAGCCTGAGATCCGAGGGAAAAGGAGAACACCACTTGTGGAGCTGTGTGTGTGAGCTGGTGGAGATGATCTTATAAAGTTTACAGAATCTTACATGTCAGGGTTAGTGTTTTGTTGACAACCTATGCATGCACAGGAGACAGACCAGATAGCTAACGCCAAGGCTGGCTCACTTCTAAAGCTGTATCACAATATCCTTAAAACACGTTTGTTCATTGAGCTTTGGAGAACAAAATCAACTATAGAAAATGCCCTCCTGAGGACTTTTTATTTGAAAAAAACTTAATGTGGGAGAGGTTCCAGGCCTGATTGTTCCAAGTGACATCTGCATTCTATCGAACCACCAGTTAGCGAGGCTTTGCTGCTCTAAGAAACTGAGCAATAACAAAAGTAGCAACAATGATTAATAGCTGATATGGATGAAGCACTTAAAACATGCCAGTCAGCATACTCACAGGTAGCATGCATTGTCTCAATTAATGTCCCCAAATCCTGTTCTAGAACTATTATTTCCTCACCTTCAGATGAGGAACTTGAGGCTTAGAGTTTAAATAACTTGTCCAAGATTGCACAACAAATGTGTGATAGGGCAGGATTCAAAGGAAGGCTGTCTGACTCTGGCACCACTTTTCAGTCACTGCTCTAATGGGTAGGCTCTGAATAGCTACCAAGTGCCAGTGTGGGAGACTCTACTCTCCTTTGGAATGACTTAGAACAAAACACAACTTCTGAAAGTGTCATTTATCTTAGCTATAAAATGGCAACGAGCAAAGATCCATCCATCTAGATTTGAAACTCTACCCCTGTAAGTGAATCTTAGAGAGGTCAAAGGTCAGAGAACTGTTAAGTTCTTGGGCAGAGCCTTACAATTTTGGATTCTGAGTTCATTATGGGAAACAGATTTCATGGAATTTTCACCCCAACTGCTATGGGTTTCTTATAATAATTTGCAGCTTTTGTTTCTATATATGGTTAAAATTCAGAAATGCAGAATTTGGGGAGAAGATACAAAGTCAACTTTCTCTCACTTCAAAATGACTGAACTTCAAGTAGAGCAAATTAGAGTGCATTACTTCCCTTGATCGAGAGGTGAGAGACTTGAATGTGGACAGAGGAAATGTAATGAAAAGAAAGGAGTCTGTTTTCTATGTAGCCAGAGGAACTGCTCCCAGGTACATCAGGGCTAGACATCACATCTCTGAGCAATCATTGTGGTTTAGTTAGATCTCTCATTGGCAAAGACATCAGCACAAGTGTAAGGCTTTTTTAATGAAAAATATCCATACATATTTTTGATGTTCCGTATTTCTTTTTTTGTAAGTTGAGTACAAGTAGGGCAAGACCCAAAGCCCCGATATCAAAATGAGACAAACAAGAAGTGGCTGCTTACAAACACATCAAAGGTCTAAAGATGTCCAAGGAACGTGCTGCTAACGAAAGCAAGGTCAGGGGTGCCCTGAGAAAGGTGTCCTGGGTGCTTGCCTCATTAAAAATAGATCTAGGAAGGAGAAGTCAAAGTTCTAAGTAGTGAACACAAAAGATCTACAGGCTATACCTAAAATAATCAATGCAACAATCCAACATTTGTTGAGCTTCTGCTTTTATGGCAGGTAAGGGATAAAGCATTGTGAATAGGAAAATGAATACTATCTGATCTCCATCTGTAAAGAACTTATTTTCTGGTGGGAGCAAGGGAGAGAGAAAAAACATGATTACTTCAACACAATGACGCTGCAACAATTGTAGCTAACATTTACTGAACCTTCACCAGTGTGCCAAACACTCTACCAGGGGCTTTACATGCAGCGTGTTCAAGTCTCATTTGAAGTGCTATGACAGAAGCACCCATGGTTTGCTCTGAAAGTACAGAAAAGGGAAAGTCACAGAGGCAAGGGGTCACACCATTTCAATAAAAGAAAATATTTAATTTCTTGCAGCCACTACTGTCCCCTTAGCTTAACCGTTTAATCAGAATTATGGGATCAAATCTGACAGAACCTAATGCTAAAGGGCAGTCCCATAAAATAGACATTCAGACCAAGGACTCTTGTGGATATTTATTTCTTGCTCTTTAAAAACTGGGGAACAAAATGTCTGCCTCTGCTAGTGATTTGAATTTGGGGGATAGAGAAGAAGCTTAGTGGAGGAAGATGTGGGTGGGGTACTGGCACTGTCCCTTGCTAAAGTTATGCCTCAGCGCATCTAGTTAACCTCCCCACACCTCAGTTTCTGAATCTGTAAAAGAGTGATAACAATAGATATACCTTAATAGGACTGTTGAAGGAACAAAATGAGTGAATGTGTATTAAACTCTTAGTTCGGGGCCTCTGCAACATAAGTACTTTAACAAATATTACTGATCCTCATTATCAGCAACACTCAAAAAGTAAATCTTTTTGACATTCTTGAGTAAAAACACTATGGCAACATATGATGTGATTTTCATTGGGAGAAAGGAATCATTTTTTTTCTTGTAACTTACATGATTTCTTTGTTTGGGCACCCATTCCCAGGAGGCAGGATTCGAATCCGATCAATGTGGCGGAAGGAGAAAGTATCTAAGGTCCGTTTGACGCATTTACATTTTAAGTTTGTGTTGTAGGCTTCCAGGACACCTATAAACAGAGAATCAGTTATTTAAATCCCTTTGACATGTAATTTACAACTAGCACTTAATTAGTCTTTTTTCACACAGTGCATTTGTAGATGTAACAATTTCAAGTTCGTGCTTCCACCCATATGCCTTCAGTTTGTGTATTTCTGCTTGTCTTGGCATATTTTCAAACATTTTCTACCAAAACCTTAAAAATAAAATTGGCTTTAAAAATGCCAAGCCTAATGAAATTTGTGATAGCATTAATCTATTGGTACTCAGGTGGTTGTCTATACAATAAAATTTGAGAATCACCATTATGAGGACTTACGACTCAGTTATAATTAGTATAACTACAATATACTACATATACTACAATATACTATGTACTATAATATAACGTACTATAATAATAATAGCAGTAATGTAAAGTCAACTGATCTTCACTCTCAACACATAAAAACTGAGGCCAGGAACTCCTTCCAGAGTCCCAGGAGCAATAACAAGCTGTAGCAGAGTTCTCTCTCTTATCATACCTGCCCCCTCTTGTCTTTCTGTTTGAGGAAACATCATAGAAGGTATTTTTGTCTTTGTTTAATATGTTGGTCCTTCACTTCAGTTGCAAATCATTAGCAAACAAAAGCCAATACAAATATCCAGAACTTTATTCAACAACAAACTTATTAGTACTAGATACTTCCATAACTAATCCATCTCATGCATTTTAGTGAATTCTTTAATCCTACCATGAGCTTGACATGTATTTGCAAATAGAAGGAACCCAGGTGTCAATGTGTTTCCAATTGTGAGGGAAACAATGAACAAAAACTAAAATATCATAGCATGTTGTATTTCATACAAGGTCCAAACTACATGATGGGTACAGAGGAATTTGCTGGGAGTAATGGAAAATCTTCATGGAGGAGAAAAATGGGGTCCTTAAAAGAATGAAAATAACATATGAAGCAAAATAAAAATTGAAAACAGTTCCCTGGATTTTGAAAACAAAAATTTGTCCTCTACACCTGAGTGTATCATTCTGTGCACATATCAGATTCCTTCAGATGTATAAAAATTTACCACTTCAACTAGATATTTATCTACTTACACAAAGATAGCCTCCCCATTTAGACTTGGAAGACTCCATCTTTGCAGAAAGTGTGTGCATAAGCACCCTGTTGGACTTACACTAGTTTGTGTCAGAGCTAACCTTATAGAATTGCACCAAACATTACCTGCAGGAGACCAACTGGTTGAGGTCAGTAATCTTTAAACCCAGTAAGGTCAGATCTTTAAACCCTTTCAGGCTCAGAAGACGCAGCACTGAAGGCAGAGCAAGAAGAGATGCATAGAAAGAACTAGTTATAGCAGAGCCATCTGAACAAGGCCAGGAACAGACAAACCAAGCATAAGACACCCGGACCTTGGACTTCCAGTCATTCCTCCATCTGTGGATGACAATCTTAACAATGTAAGCACTGCCACCCTCTAAGAGTTAAGTCCCTAAGCCCCTTACTTCTAGAAATCTAGGAGTAGTTGAGCAGTTTTCTTCCCCTTCAGTCATATTTCCCCCTTTTTCTAGTTGAAAAAAGAATTGAAATGGCTGAAGCCCCAAAGCACAATGACAACATAAATGGAAGCTCTCACCATGGACTGGAGAAAGGCTGCAGACCATCAGGAGGAGAAGCAGAGATCCTGGGGTGAAACTCATTCTGCCTCAAGGTGGAGTTCAGACCTCAGCTCTGAGCTAAACTGGGTTCTCAGCACAGGGACTCCTATTTATTTAAACCAGCAAAGGCCCCTCCCACTGCCTTTGTCTTTGCATCATCAGTTTTAAAAGCCCCCAAATATTGCTGAGCTTGCCATTTTACAACTCCTCTTGCAATTTTATAAGTTTGCTGCAGAGCACTACTAGTTTCTTGAAAATGTACACTATAAAAGGCAGGGATGCTGTAGGTATTTGCGGTTGGGAAGTAGGGGGGAAGATACCAGTTGGGAGGCTCCACAGCACTTGCTCCAGGATCACTATCAGTGCTACGGCTCCGAGTGCTTCTCGCAGCTAAGGGCCAGCAGGCTTTCTCGGTGGTATTGGCAGATAGGCTCTGTGAAGTTAGCTACTCTGTCGGGAACATCACTGTGTCCCCAGCACCTGCAAGAGAGTCTAGCCTTTGGTAGGTGCTTGGTAAATATTTCCAGATCTAATGACTGTCTCCTTATATACAGACCCCTATGCTGACTAGGTTACTGTTTTTCTACCAGACTTTCCCACCTCTATTTCACTATATATGATTACTTATGTTATCAGGCCATCATGGAAACCCTGAAAGGGGGCAGTGTGTGTCCCCTCCAAGGCAGCCTGTGTCTTGATGAAGAGAGGGAGGCAACAGCGTTGAAGAAGAGAATCTTTCTGGCTCTGGAATGCAAGTCACTGAGCTTGAGAACCAGGTGTCAGTGGAGGATGTCATTAGGATTTCATCAGATGCTGAACACTTTCTTACAGTTTGTTTAACAAAGCATGTGTGCAGTTTGGTTTTGATCCTGCTGAATAGCCCATGAGGACCATCAGCCCACAGCTTAACTCACTTACTAGGAGCTCTTTGATTAAAAAAAAAAAGTATGTAGACAATGGCTGGTCTGGCCTAGAATACCTCTGGGTTGCCTTGGATATCTACATGTGTGGATGTATGAAGCCAGACTCACTGAACCACTGAAAAATCAGAGGTTTGGTCTTTCTGGCATGGGTCCCTAAACAATTTGATTTTTGCTACTCAATTAGCATAGTGGGTATTTAGCATCTTCGATGCTCTGGTGTGAATGGGGAGGGCATTGTGGTAATGTCACACAATCTTACAACAAGCAGTTCTCCAGTAGACCTGAATGACCTCAGTGACTGGGAACTGATCAATCCTGAGGCAGCCTATCCCACTGTTTGGGTAGTTATAGTTGTTAGAAAGTTCTTTCTTATGAATACATGAAAGTTGCTTCCCTAAGAATTTAATCACTTTGCCCTTATTCTACACCTTCTTACCGTGTAAAAACAATTCTAAATTATCTTTCACATGATATTTGAAGACACACAGGGTGTGTCAGTGCATCCCTTGGGAAGCAGTTGCAGAGATGGATGTTGAAGTAAAATTAATTTTTTGTTTTGTTCTGTTTTGTTTACTCCTATGATTGAAAAATGTGTGGAGGAGACAGGAGTGGGCAGAAAGAGCTTCAGATTGCAATGATGATCTGACAGAGTCTATGACAACTTCATGGGGAGCTCCCCAAAAAAGGCTATTTATTAGAGGAGCCCTGTAGTGGGCAGAGGTGTCCAGGCCTACTACCCCTGCATTGTCTGGGACTCCCCAGAAACAGTGGGGTCCCTGACAGCCAAACCAGAGCCTGAAGGTGTTAGCAGCTGGAGGTTGTTGGCTAATTGCACTTCTCACAACTGGCTGGCAAGTTATCTTTTTCAGGGAGATCTGAGCAGTGAGCCTCTGTGGCTGTCACACAGGGTTATAAGCTAGAGATGGATAGCATAAACTAGGGAGTCCCCCAGTCCATGACTTTGGCCAGGTCACTTAATTTATCTATGCCTCATATTTACCAGGTTTCACATGGCATAATACTAATTTTAAAGGATTGTTTGGAGAAAGAAATCATCTAGGATACATAGAGTTCTTAGCAGAATGCCTGGCACCTAAAATGTGTTCAATAGATAGCCTGTCCATCCATCCATCCATACATACTATACATACATACATACATTATCAATGGGTCTTGCTAACTTCCATTCAAAAAACTGGATGTACACGTTTCAAAGGTAAACATCACTAGGTCTTTTATTAGAACACAGTTTGAAGCTCTCTCAACTTCTTTTCTCCATCACTTATCTTCAAAGCAAGTGGTGGGCTATCTCTTTAAAATTTGTTGATCTTTTTCATTGTTTTTTCCAAATCATGACTGCCCTTCTTTTCCCTTCTCATGCCTTCTCAGATTGACAGGCACACACCACACACACACACACACACACACACACACACACACACACACACACATGCTCGTGTGTACACACATCTGCACACCAAACTACTCCAAGTTTGGCTTTACCGATAAAAGGAAGAGGAAGCCCATCACCTCCTTTGTCCTAAGCACTGTTCTTCTACTAATGCATTTCTAGACTGAGTAACATTATTCTGTTACACTGAGTTGTTTCTTTTGAAAATGATCCATTTTTGACTATGTCTTATTCATTTCACTATTGTGCAATTTGATCTTGGGACCCAGGTGTAGGAGTTTTACATTTGCCTCTGTTATATAGATAATACATCTCCTTGTTAGAACAAAAATGAGTGATGCTGACAATAACAGGAAGAGCATAGAGACAAAGGTACTTGAAAGAGGACTCTGAATAAATCTAGGAAATTCTATAATTGTCTCTTGCTAAAATAGGACTGCTGGGTCAAGTTGCTAATTCCAGAGCAATTCTAAAATCTGATTTTGGTCCTTTCAATGCCCAGAGCTCTGGATTTAGCTTATACTGACCAAAGAAGCCTTACATTTGCCTGTCCCAATATGGATTAGTGGTCTCTCCGATGATTCTAGATGTTTCAAGTATAACTGTCCATGATCTTATTTACAGCAAGCTTATAAATTTCAAAATCTTTGAAGCCAAGAAGAAAAATACTTGAACCAATAGATTTAGGGCCCAGAAGGTAACATTTTATTTTTAAAATAGTTTTTACAGACATCTTTGGTTGGAAACATAAAAACATATAAGTTGATTTATATTAAACCTGATTTTTATGATCCAATATAGAAAACCTTAGAGAAAACAAGAAAATTATGGGGAGGGTTTTCTCCTTTGACAGTGGAACCAAACCAGATTTTCTCACCAGCCCCTAGAAAAACTGGGTAGTTTTGAGTACCTTGGTACCCAAATTCTGGTCTATGGACCAGCACCATACTCTTCACCTGACAGCTTGTTAAAAATACAGAAACTCAGGCCCTGAATTTTAACAAGACTCCCAGGTGATTTGAATGCACTGTAAAGTCTGAGAGGCATTTGTCTTGTGTAATATGAGCTGTAGGCACATTCAAATTGTCGTCAGGGAAATGTCACCACAAGTCATCTCCAGAGTGTGATGCTCAGATCCCGAGTGAAAGCGGACAGGACAGACGTGCCCACTGACAGCTAAATGCAGAATGGTGACAACAAGAAAGAAATTCTCTCTTAAGATATCAAAAAGTCAAATGTCACTAAAACAGAGAGGTGGAATAACTGGCCAAAGTATCTGCCAAGCTAGCTCGCCAGTTGGTATTGAACAGAGGGCACATGGCTGAGTTTAAAAATGATTAAAAGGATACAATTCTTATAATTTTAAGTAGTTTGTTATAAAATAGGAGACAAGACAAATGTCACTGACCAAATGGAAAACATTTTCTTTCATACCATCTAAAAAGCAGCTCAACTAGAAAACAGAAATTTACTCTATCCCATTATAAATGTTTAACCTGCTGCAAATCTGACATCTATTTGCCTACATATACATCTATGTACCTTTCAGCACAACAGGAAAGTGTTGTAACCCGGGTGGGTAAGAGCTCAGGTTCTGAAATCAGCCTCTCTGGGTTTGTACCCTTGCTCCAACACTTACTTGCCCTGTTACCATCTCCAAGGCTCAGTTCTTTCTGTATCAATAGGGCCCGTAACTGTAACTAACACCTTCTTTGGCAGTTGTGCAGCGAACGTAACAGTGCTGGAAAAGTGGGTTTTGCTCAGCCTTGGGCAAGTAGCAATCACTTGATAAATGTTAAATATTTTGTTACCTTTGTGAAAACTCAAAAATGTATTATTTTCATTGCGTTCTATTTTATTTTATTTATTGTGGTAAGAACCTATCCTGTTAATAAATTTTTAAGTGTATGTACGGTATTGTTGATTAGAGGTACAATGTTGTACAGCAGATCTCTACAGCTTATTCATCTTTCTTAAGAAACAACACTGGCTTAGTCTGTGAGTCAAACTCCTAACAAGAAAGAAAATGTCATTTAGGTTTTCACTGGAGATATATGACTCCTTGAATTTAAAGGTCCTCTGGTCAAAAAGCTGTTCTTATTTGAGACTGACCACCTACACTCTGTTTTTAACCACTTTTAACAGATATATGAATCTCTTTTCTCTAAGAAGATACCCGTGGTTTGTATGAAATGTACTGAAGTTTTACAAAGGGGCCTGTTTATTTTGCTGTCATTTTCACCTTGATTGGATTACTTACAGCAGCCTGTTGTTTACCAGATGATGACTTCAAGACACATACCTGCAGAAAAGATATTTTTCAAAGACAGTTAGTTTCCTATTTCAAGTTTTGCTCAAAGTTCAATTCAAATACCGTGAGTCCCAGGCAAACCTCATATGTATCTCTTCAAAATTCCGTCCTGCATATTGGGGTGGTGATTTGCCAGAAGACTGCTAGGTGGCAGCATTACTCACACGAATGGTTTGCAGAAAGGGATGTGCCTGTCCTCAGGTACGTGCAGAGCTGACACAAGGACTGTGCTGGGTGTTATTTCAGTGTGGAAATCATTAATTTAATTTGATCTGACCACCTACTTTTCACGATTGCTTTTCAAATTTTTATATCGTGAGGTTTGAGATTTTTCTGATTGAGCTGAAATGTTAATTCAGGATTGGAGAAAAACCCCTAAAAATCTGAAGTAATCCAACAAATTCTGGGCCAAATCTGACTTCTTGGCCTTGAGGTTGCAAAATCAAATTACACATCAGTTGTCTG